ACGAGCAGAATGGCCCTGAGTGTAGGGGAGCGGCCGGGACCAGAGAGAGTCCTGCTAAGGGATCAGCTGGCAACTCACCCCAATGAGTTGTCAGATCACCTGGAATCCCAACTTTTATATAAAGCTCCAGTTTTTCAATCATAGCAACTAATTCGCAAAAACTGAAACCATCATGCAGATCATTTTAACCACTGCTCTCTGCGAAGGGCACCCACCTTGAGCCAGAGGGTCGGCGCCCCAGCTCAGCCTGCGTGCCGTGCTTTCTGCAGGGACAGGAAGCTGGAGGTGGGGGGCCGGGCTCTCACACACACACCCTGTGGTTGCCTCTGCAGGAGGGCGATGCACTAGGCGCCATGGAGAAGCTGTGCCGGCAGCTGACATACCATCTCAGCCCCCACTCCCAGTGGAGGCGGCACCGGGGGCTGGTGAAGAGGAAGCCACAGGCCTGGTGAGTCATGGTCACCTGAGGTGGGTCTGCCCGCCCCCCTGCCCAGGCTCCTTCTTCAAGGGCAGCCCAAAGACGGTCTGTGTCAGGCTGGGTGTGTGACATGACACAGCATCCCTCCCAGGGGAGCGGGGTGGAGGGAAGAGCTGGAAGGCTGCCCGGAGCTGGTGAGCATGAGAGAATTCAGTGGTGGGCATTCCAGGTGGCAGGAGCCATGAGAGGCCCTGGAGGCAGGGCCCTGGTCTGTGGGGTGGGCGCTGGGGATGTGGGCCCATCCCAATGGATGGGTGGGGAGGGAGACATGAGTTTCTAATTCCTGGTGCAGTGAACGTGGGCACGTGCACTCACTGAACCCCAGTGTCTCCTGGTTGTCCCCTCGGGAGGCCCAGACCCCAAGCACATCCCTGGTTCATGCAGCAGTGAGAACCCTCAGGGGCTTTGTGGCCCCTGAGACTGGGGAGAGGAGGCCACATGGGACACAGAACCTGTGGTCATGGCAGGAAGTGGATGCAAGGGAGCCTGGAAGGAAGACTTCCTGGGGGAGGACATGAGCATTCCCGAAGCTGCTGTGGGCTCACCCTCTAGTCCTGCAGCTGGGGGAGGAAGGCCTGCCCCTCCCTGAGAAGTAAGGGGCTCCTTTCCCTTCCAGACAACCCCACCCCCAAGCGGGGGAAGGAAGTGAGGCTCCCACTGGCTGCGGGCAGGGGCCATATACGCAGACAGAGCTGGATGGGAGAACCCCTGGGACCTGGAATGCCAGGACACTTCGTGAGCTAGTTGTTTAGGTTTGAAAAGCTGGCAATGTGAGCTCTGTTGGAATCCAGGGGCCTCTTCTACTGTCTCCCCCCAACACACGCGTGCTCAGTCCATTCTTCTTTCAGCTCTGCGCCTCTACGGCGGCTTCTGGTCACATTGAGTGAAATGCAAGCAGGGCCTTATGTGATGGGTCCCCAGCCCCTCACTCTCTCCCTCCCACTCTCCTGTGCCCCCTGCCACGCTCTCCTTCTTGCTGGTTCAGACACACCAAGCTCTTTCCAACCTCAGGGCCTTTGCACTGCACTCCCTCTGCTGAAACTCACCAACCCTCCCGATGGCCTGATGGCCTGCTTTCTCCTTGCTCGTCAGCTCAAATGTTACCTCCTCAAAGCAGCCTTCCTGAGTAGCCATGCCCACCCCCCCAGGCTACTCTCTCACTTGACTCTCAGGTTGTCTTGTTTGTTGTCCAGCCGCTCTCCGGCAGGGTGAAAACGGGAGTCTTGTCCATCTTGTTCACCACTATGGCCTTGGTGCCTAGGGCAGTGCCTGGCACCTAGTAGCTTAACAAACACTTGAAGGACTGACCAAGGTAGGGACTATTACTGTTGCCATTTGGCCACGATCAGCCGGCTGAGAAGTGGCAGGGCCAGATTCATACCCAGGCTCAGGCTGTTAACCACCCACTTCCCATTTCCCTGCTGTCATAGGCCTGCTTTATTAATAACAGTAATGAGAATTACAGCCAACACTAAATCACCCTAAACAAGTGCCGGCAGTGTTCCTGGCCCTTAGATGTCATGCCTGGAGAGCTTCACCTTCAAACTCCCGGGGGCTCGGCAAGATGAGCACATTGAGGTGGCCTTTCAGCTTCAGGAGGTCCCGAGCATAGAGGATAGGGGTTTGCCTGCTCAGGCTGCTGCTACTAATGTGTGCAGGCTGTTAACACCCCCCCCC